ACAGAGAGAGAGAGAGAGGCAGAGGGAGAAGCAGGCTCCCCGCTGAGCAGGGAGCCCGATGCGGGACTCGATCCCAGGACGCTGGGATCATGACCTGAGCCGAAGGCAGACGCTTAACCATCTGAGCCACCCAGGCGCCCCCAAATAAATAAAATCTTAAAAAAAAAAAAAAAGCCGGCCAAACCAACCTCATAGGGGTAATATGAGAATTTAGCAATATAATAGATGCAAATTACCTGGTCATGAGCTTAGCATTTAGTAGGTACTCAAATAAATGTTAGTTTTTTCTCATGCCCATCTCTAATCCACTATAATTAGTTGTATATTGATGGTAGGTATATAGTGATACAATGTCAATACAACCACTGTGAATCTTCAGTTCCATCAAATTCTCTGGCCTGAGACCAAGTTTATATCAGAAACTTATATAGCTTCACTCCCCAAATGTTACCTCCTCCAGCACCCTGGAGTTGCCTGCCCACCAGAGTCCCTAGGATGTCATCCAGACCAGCAATGGAAATGGACAACATTCCCTCAGTCCTTTCCTGGGGGGGCGGAGGGGAGTGTGTGGGGGGGAGGGGGTTCCTCGAGATTCTTCATTTAGCTTAATAAAGCTTTGTCCTCAAATAATTTGAATATATCTGCTGGATATATCTAAATATAAGCCTATATTTTATATAATAAGTATATAAGAGATGTGAGAGAGAGAGAGAGAAGCTAGAGGCTAGTTTAGGCTGTAGTAACAAATAGCCCCAAAGTGGCAGTGGCCCAAAACAACAGAAGTTTCTTTCTCACTTACATTTCCATAATAAGTCAGTCACTGTCATTTATCTTAGCTCCAAAATCCAGGCTGATGAAGCAGTGACTCTGGTGTATTTTTGGATGTGCTGGCAGAGGGGGAAAAAAGAAAGCTCTGGAGCATCTCATGTGAGCAGTTTAATCCTCAACCAGAAGGAACACATGTCACTTCTGCTCACAACTCATTGTCCAGAAATGTTCCCATAGCCCTACCCAACCACAGGGCAATCAGGAAGGGAGAATAATAGGAATATTTGGTAAAGAGCACTAATAATTATTATACTCTATTTTTAAAACCAGTTAAAAAACTTTCAATGAAAGGTTTTTTTAAATATTTTTTTAAAAGATTTTATTTATTGGGCGCCTGGGTGGCTCAGTTGATTAAGCGACTGCCTTCAGCTCAGGTCATGATCCCAGGGTCCTGGGATCGAGTCCCACATCGGGCTCCCTGCTCTGCGGGGAGCCTGCTTCTCCCTCTCCCACTCCCCCTGCTTGTGTTCCCTCTCTCGCTGTGTCTCTCTCTGTCAAATAAATAAATAAAATCTTAAAAAAAAAAAAAGATTTTATTTATTTATTTGAGAGAGAGAGAATGAGAGACAGAGAGCACAAGAGGGAAGAGGATCAGAGGGAGAAGCAGACCCCCTGCCGAGCAGGGAGCCCGATGCGGGACTCGATCCCGGGACTCCAGGATCATGACCTGAGCTGAAAGCAGTCACTTAACCAACTGAGCCACCCAGGTGCCCGGTTTTTTTAAATATTTTATTTATTTATTTGAGACAGAGAGTACAAGTGGGAGGCGCAGAGGGAGAAGGAGAGAGAATCTGAAGCAGACTCTGTGCTGAGCTCAGAGCCCAATGCAGAGCTCGATCTCATGACCGTGAGATCAGGACCTGAGCTGAAACCAAGAGTTGGATGCTTAACCGACTGAGCCACCCAGGCACCCCTTAATAAAAGTTTTTTTATTAAAACATTTCCAAAAACTCTGTCTCAACAGGCATTTCACTTATGGGCTTTTCTTTCTCTTACATGTACACTAAATGAGGATGTTCTGTTTTCCTATTGGATTTTCAGGTGAATTATGGAAAGCTCCTCTGGTTTTTAAGAGCTGCAGCTTTAGATGATCCACAGCAAAGCAAAGAAGCTGTGGGCAGTAACCCCAGGAAATCTCAGGGTTGTCATCATCATGGCCAAAGGTACTTTCTTTCTTTCCTTGGGCATAGTGTTCCTAGACTTCTAGAACTGGACGTGATTTTGGAGGCCATTCACCCGAAAAGCTCACCCAGTGTAGAATCACTGTGCCCTTCACCTCATGCTTATCATTTCCTCTCTCTCTGTCTCTCTCTCTCTCGTAGACAGGCCAGCACAGAAAGTTATTTGCACCAATTGCATAGGTTTCTTGAGATCAAGCATGTGTCTTTTTTATGAGGTTGCCACGTGGCAATGAAAACCCTCATTATAGAATAAGAAATGATCGTATACTGATGCAGAGCTCCAGTCTATAAAGTGTGATTCCAGAAATATGTTTGGTCAATGAACTTCTGGTTTACAGGCACTAGCAAAGAAGGGTTTCAGGTACCAGCATCAATAATGTAATCTCAAGGGAAATAAATGACACATAGTAAAAATAGGATGTGAGGAGTATCTTTAGAGAGGAGGCACAGTAGAGCATGATAGTCCCTGTGTTCTCCAAGAAAGTTGACAAAGTGCAGTGGTTAGGAGCATAGCCTCCATTACCAGAAGCCTAGGCTCAGTTCCTGTTTCTGCCATTTAATGGCTGTGTAACCTCGAGCTAGTCACTTACCTTCTCTGTGCTTCCATTGTGAAATGGGAGCCATAAGAGATTTCCCTTCACTTCATAGATTTGGAGAGTAACTTAATCAATGCAAAGTTCTTAAAAACAGTATCTGATACATAGGAAATGCTATATAAGAATTTTTTTTATTATTATTATTTTTAAACTATCCTACCAGAAGACACTCTTTTCAGTTACAAATAATGGGACACAGTGGTTAAGAGCCACGGTATTGGAATTCATCACTTCACTCTAGGAAAACAGTTTCCTACAAAAATGGCCCTGGGCCAAGCGTTGGACTTGCTTCCTTTCTACAGTGTGCCCTTTTCATGCCTTTTTATATTCATTGAATACCAGCTGCTTGCCAGGGACACCTTGCCGGGCATAGTGAATTCAGAGGTTGGCAAGGCCCAGTCTTTCCCTCAAGGCTCAAAGGGCAAAGAAAGACACTGCCAGGTGGGTACACCAGTCAAATATCTGGGAGCAACTGTCCTATGGAGGGCCGTAAAGCCCCAGAAATATTTAATAATCAGCAACCACACTTCATAAAACACAGACAATGAGATCTGGGCCCTGTGAGGTGCCATTGGCAGATATGGGTCTTAATGAGTCCTGGACAGGAAGGCGTTCCTGAGCCCTAGACTACGTTATATCTCTCAGTCTCTCTGTGGTATGGCCCCACAGTCCTTTCCCTGCCTGATGGCCACTGTATTTGTAATTACTAACTTGACATTTGAGGTTAGTAATAGTGTCTGCCCTGGCCAGCTTGGTGTCCAGCATCGTTCCCGGCACATGGGAGATGCTCAATGAATATTTTTTTAATGTAATTGGTACCTCCAATTATCCACTTGCAGAGACATCTGGATACCTCCTCTATAAAAATGGTGCACAAAGAGATCACTTTGAACTCATCGGAGAAGGTGCTGCTTGATACAAACCAGACAGTGTGTTTGTGGAAGTGCGGAACTGATGGCCTAAATGAACCCAGGCTCTTTGTTAATTAACGTGCTGCTCAGGAAAAGGCCCTCCCATGTTCTGTCAGGTAGAGCCTTTAATGGGGCAGCTCTGTGATGTTTAAAAAGCCTCCAGCATCACCTGTGGCAACAGCTCTCCTTACCTAAGTTGGACCAGATGAAACCACCTCCCACAGCAGGTTTCCTAAGAAACCACACCAGCTGAAGCAAATGGGTTCCATACAACTCCTGCCCATTTCATACTTGCATTTCGGATACAGGGGCCAAAGCCTCATGAATTCCCACCCCCAGGAACTGGCATTGCAAGAAAAGGAAAGAGGAAGGAAAACTTGTGATTCAGATCTGGGACAGACACATCTGATTGGCAAGGTCTGGGTCATGGGCTCTCTCAGCAAAGAGAGTCTCGTAAAGCACATAGCTGGCATTTTCCTCCACTAGACTGAGAGGCAGACTCCTGAGCTGGAGAACATTCTGAACTGGGAAGGAGGGTGCAGAAACTATATGACCCAAACAAAGACAAACAGCCACTCCTTCTGTCCTGTACCAAGCTTTCAGAAAATATGAGCTGTTAGGCCAAAACTCAACTAAGAGTCACAGAGCAAAAAGAAGATACAGGGGCACCTGGGTGCCTCAGTTGGTTATGCGACCACCTTTTGATTTCAGCTCAGGTCACGATCTCAGGGTCGTGAGATCAAGCCCCACATCAGGCTTTGCGCTCAGCAGGGAGTCTGCTTGAGATTCCCTCCCTCCCCCCCTGCCTCCCCTTCTGCTTCTCACCCCACTCATGTGTGCTCCCTCTCTCTCTCCCTAATACAAATAAATAAAATTCTTTAAGAAAAAAAGAAGATACAATATGACCTCTAGTAAAAGTTAAATACATATAAAAATAATTAATTCCAAGTACTATACAAGATCCCCAGGAAATAGTAAAAAACAAAACAGACTTGAGCCACGTCTGATGGAGCAGTCTAGTAGGGAAGTAAGACATGAAACAATAGCTAAAGAAATAAAGATGTGATTGCAACCTAAGGGAGACTTATTTAGGAAAAGAAAAAGGAATTTTGAAAGAGCTGATCAAGCATGGGGTGCTGGAGCATCACTGAGGGCCAATTAGGAGCACCACTTCCCAGATCGTCTTTCAGTGACATCCTTTTTGTAGTTTGAAGTCGGCCATGGTGGGAGTACTCAAACCATGAAAATTAGTAATGCCACAAATCAGGGCATTATCTTGGAGAGCGGGTTGTTAAGTTTACAGACACACCACTGAAAGGAAGCTGATTTACAGGAGTGGAGGTTGGGAGATGTCAGAGACTGTCCCTGTAGGGAAGTGGCATTTTACATTGAGACAGTGGAAATTAGAAAAAGCTTCACTGCCAAGAAGATAGTTCAGCTGGATCTGGAATGACACATCATTTGAATGCTAAATGAGTAAACATCTCAAACTAGTTTCATAAAATAAATGACTATAACACTTTATCACCCTTGGGTTTTCACCTATTATTTAAAGTAACAATAGTCAGTGAGATAAACCATCGTAATAATTACAAACATTTGCAAGATCATTATTCCCAAAACTTTTCTCGGTTTTCTAGATAAAAATTGCAGAGTCAAGGATAACACGGGAAGTTCACTTGATTCAAGATTTCCTTCTACAGAGGTTCCATGGTTATAGGGGATCTGGCAGGATCCACTTTGCTTTGCCTGTGGCAAGGGACAGTTTGGAAGTTTGATTTGCCATCAATAATTATCTGGGCTTAAGAGAAGTAAGATCAAGCAGCTAAAGTAAACTACTGTGGTCACTTGTAATTGTTCCTCTCAACCTGGAAAAAAGAGTGAGAGTGGATTACAAATTTTGGTTTCTGTTCTAGCCGAATTGGTTGGTGCCTCCTGGAAAAGACTCTAGTGGTCAGTAGAATGGAACAGATTGGAGATAATCTAGGAAATCTCTATGTGCAGACCCCATGACCAGGTTCCTGAGACTTAGGAGACCTTACTGGGTGGGTTCTCTGGGTTCACGGTGTATGTCAGGGCTGAGAGATGTGGTATGAAAACATGCAGCGGCTTTGGGTGGATCATGTTTTCACAGGCTTTCCCCTGCACCTCCATGCAGTATGGCTCCTCGAGATGCCAGCCCTTGGTCAGAAGTGGGCAAGAACCTGTTGGAGATCCTGATGGCACTAAGGACAACCCATGGAAAACTCGACCTAGAGGGCCTCAGTCTGAGTTTCCGGAAAGAAGACCACTCTTTCTCCGGTTCCCTACCCCCACCCAAGGTAACAAAAATTAGAGTTCCGATGTGTTTGTCTCCAAAGCCTACCTCAAGGTCTAACAGAAAGCTCAGTTATGATCTGTGTTCTGCCTGTGGATAACATTATACAATTGTTTGTTTTCTGTGCCTGAGAGGAGAAAAACAAAAGGAAAAAAGAATTGTAGAATATGCAGAATTGGTCCAGGAATTACTTATGCTGGGATATGTTCTATGTTAATAAGAGAGAATAGGATAACACCCAAATAATATTTCATAATGGAAAACAAATATTTTTTCCAAGGCCAAATGTTCATTTCTCATACCCTCTACCAGCTCAGTGACATTAGCATGTGGTATCCCATTCCTTAGAACACCCAATTTTTAGGAACTAATGTGATTTATTGCTGATAGAGATTAGCATGCTGTTTTAGAGCATTAACAGTGCAGACGTGTTTTATGGAAGAGGATCCAGAACCATATAAACTCAAGTGTTGTCTTTAGCCAAACAAACCCTAGTCATGAGGCTACCTTGTATACAGGTGAAATAATAATTATGACTATTACTACAATTTCATCAACAACAACTTGTCACCACCAGACTTTATTGAGTTCTTACTAAGTGCCAAGCACTGCACTAAATGCTTTATTTACATTCTCTCATTTAACATTTACAGATAACTACAAAATCCAGATAGATGTTATAATACCCATTTAATGAAAAAGACTGAGTCTCAGAGAGGCCAATTGAATCACCCAAGGGCCACAGCTAGCAAGCAGCAGAGCCAGGGTTCAAAGTACAGTAGAGTACTGGATATTGAGAGCCAGAATTGGAACTCTATTCAGCAAAAGATATCTGGAATTATCCATTGAGTCCAGGATATAAGACTTAGAATTCCAGAGGAGTAGAAGGGATTTATAATTGCAGGGGGAAAAAAAGAAAGTGCTATAGAAAAGATTGGAAAATGCCTCTCATCTAGGTAAACAGGGGTTAGAATTGAGAGAATTAAGAGGAGCATATGACATTCTATTAAGAAAGCAAGGACAGAGGATGCTGGAAGTGGATTCTTATTCCAGGACAGAAGCAGCTTTCTCTGTGCTTTCATTTACACAGTCAGCTAACCATGCAAGGGCAAAGGTAATGATAGTATGTACATGTGTGTGTATGTATGTGAATATTACACATGCAAGTATGTTTCACTGGAAAGAGGGAGAGAGCACACTGCAGGAGATTCCACACAACATAAATGGCTTTTATTGTGTACATAATATCAGTGGAAATAAAATAAGAAGCAGCAATTCTTTGTTAGATTGGAAATTACATGACACCATCAATGAAGCTTGAATGTTCTCAGGTGATACTAGTAGAATAAAACATAAATAACATGAATCAAAATAAATTTGCTTAAACTCTTTGAGTCTTCAGATTTTTCAGCTGGAAAAAAAAAAACTGGGTTTCAAATATCTATCTCCTGCATCTATTGTGAGGATTAAACAAAATAAGTATGTGAAGGCACTTAACCACGCTAATATATGAGGCACTCAGTAAACACTAGTTTCTTTTTCTTCTAATAAAAAAAAAATCAGTATTCGGTTAAATTATTACTCAAAACAGCCCAAGGAAGGAGGATATTTCCAGGGTCAAGTGATGGCCACATTGAGCACTGGCTATCAGAGCTGGCCCTGAAAGCTTAAATTTGTGGTTCATATCCAAGGAAATGGGGCACATTTTCCTTGAAGCTGGTCTGTCTCTCTTGAGCCATCTGGCATCTCTTAAGACATCTGGAACTCACTCAAAGTATATTGCAGTCTGGGAGGCATGTAAAATAGAATTCTGTTTCCCCAGAACGTGAGACAAATTGAGGCCCAAGGGACATTGGATACAAAAAGCAGCAGCAGCTGCGCCCCCACATTCATGTTCCTAGACATAGGACTTCACGGTAGACAGGGAAAGGCTATGAGTTGGAAGGGCTTCTCTTTTTGAACAGCAATTCTTAATCTCCTTGGAGTGTAGGGGAAAGAATCACAGACCTCCTTAAGTTTCTCATGAAATCTATGCACCCTGTTGTGCCCCTGTGTGTGTGTTTTTTTTTGGGGGGGTGCCATCCTCACAGCCATTTCAGAGGGCTCACAGATCATCTGTAGCTTCTCAGATAAATAAATGCAGTCTTGAAGGATAATCTGTGGGTCTTGCCACTTAAATGAATGAAATTTTGCCATTCTCAAAGAATAGTCTAAAAACATGTCAAATATCTACCAACCCCATTCTGTGGACTCAGTCCTCCTGTTCCTCTAGCCCATCTTTGATGCAATGATGGATTCTGGCAGGATTGCTGAGGCAACGTAGATCCACATCCAGTGTTCTGAGCACTATGATAAGCCACTAAGGACAAGAGACTATTATGATTTCAGTTCCTGAGTTCTCCAGGAGCTCAGGGGAAAGATGACATTTTAAACATGTCACAGTTCTGTATGACAAATGCAGTGATGGCAGTAACTTGGAACACAGAGAAAGAACAACAAGCTAGCCTGGCTCAAAACCCCTCCAAAAAGATGATGCAAATACTAAATCTTAGAGGACAGGTGAATTTGGCAAAGAATTAGGAGGAGGGGCAGAGGAAGGGATGGGAAAGGTATTCTAGGTAAAAAGAACAATGTGAAACAGGACTGAAATGAGAGAGAGCATGGCTAATTCAGGGAACTGGAAGTCATTCATATAGACAGAATATAGTAGGTGTATGGTGGCTGGGGATGGTGGGAGATGCTGCCCAAGTTGATGTTAGAATGGAAAATAGGAGCCAGTTTATGAAGGGTCTTTCTAAGGAGCTAAACTTTACCCTGAAGGCCCAAAGGGATCATCAAAAGATATTAAACAGTGAATGATATGATCAAATTCGAAATTTGAAAAAAGCAGTCTAATGGAATATGAAGAATTAGAGGTAAAGAGACCCTTTAGAAGGCTATTCCAATAATCAAGCAAGAAATTAGGAGGCTTTAAACCAGGCCAGTTAACAGGAGAGATAGAGATATTAAGGAGGTAGGAAAGTAGGTCTTGGTGACTAACTAGATATGGGCCCTGAATTAGGGAGAATCAAAAATGACTCCCAAGGTTCTGGCCTTGGCAACTTGGTGAGTGGTGGTACCATTCTCTGTGATAGAAAAGAGACAAGGAGTAGCTTTAGAGGGGTGGAGGATGGGATGAGGAGCTCAGTTTTCAATACATTGTTTTGGGTTGAGAGATTAAAGCTAAATAATGATTTAAAGGTCTTTGATATACAGTTGAAGCCACGGGAGTAGTTAGGGTTACCCAAGGACACAATGGAAAGTGAAAAGGGAAAGTAGAGGAGGACACTGTAGAAGAAGAGAAGCCAACAAAGGAGACTAAAAATAATCACAAGAGGCATGGGAGTGGTCAAGAAAGCCAAAAAAGATTTATAGAAGGATGGCATGATCAGTCATGTTACATGCTGTGAAGAGACCAATAATTGGGACTGAAAAGTACTCATGCAATTTCAAACCATGGAAGTTACCAGTGACTTGGCAAATACAGTTTAAGTACAGTGATGGGGTAAAATGCAAATGGAGCCTTAAGTGGGAAGAGAGGAAGTTGAGAGAGCATCTGTGCGCCACTCTTTCAAGGAGCATTTAGGGGAAATGAATATTTACTTCACATGTCATTTTCTAAATAACATAGACATTTTATTTACATTTGATTAAAAAACATTTCCTTACTAAACAGAAGAAACTACACATAATGAAATGTTTTCTTTTTGAACAAGGGTCATCATTATGAATATTCAAGCTTTAAACAATTTTAGTAATAATCCTGAATAACACTAAGTTGCCAGAATTTTTTGGTAGATGTTTTTTTGCTCCTTTATAACTGTCAGCTCTTAGCAGCCATCAATCAATCTGCTTCTAGGAACCCTGATGTACTATTTCTAATCTGCTATTCATTTTAGCCTAGAGCAAAACTCAGTGTTGCCAGAAGTAAATGAACTGTTTTTAGAACAACCTCTTACACTGATGTTTAAAAATATATTAATATGCTGTAATCATGAAGATAATTCAATTCTTATTTAAGGAGTAAAATGGCATAATGTGACTAATTTCTACCTCTCTAAATTTATTTTTGCCAATCTCTGCCCATACACACTCTACTCTTTACTGTTTTCAACTCTTTCATTCACTTCCTTGTTCACTACGTATTTATTTGTTCAATAATTATTGATACTTTATTTTTCAACACAGTGCTAAACAAATGGTGATTGAAAAATGAATGAAACACAGCTGAAGCCCTCAGTAATCCCGTGTCTTGTAGAGAAGCTCTAGTGACCAGATCATTACTGCCCAGCCGGGAAAAGTGTATAAAACTATAGTAGAGTGGATAATGTCAAAATATATGCAGTTTCTAAAAAGCACCATACTCTTTCTCATCCATTAATCACACATGATTTTCTTCTGCCTGGAATTTTCCCTGACCCCTTACTCTTCTGGTAAACTCCTACTCAGTTTTTTATGTTCCAAATTGATGATCTTTTTTCCTCTGTTAAGCATCCCTGACAGGACTCCTCTATACCTAGGAAGTAACATGTACAAGTTTTGAACCTAGATTTGTTGTTAGTTTCCTTACATAAAGATAAACAAAGATTAGTTTTTTGTCACTGTTTTAAAATCTAGGTTTTATACATTATTCAGCTATGTTCAGACCAACAGATCAGGAGATGATTGCCACTGAAGAGATAGCTTGTTAAACACAGTTTCCAAGGCAAGGGAGTATGGCACACCCACACAGACTCTTCCAGAAGCAGCAGGGCTAGTCAGGAGGCAGAGGGGATAAGGGGAAAATGTGGGCAGGAGCCCTTATGGTGGAATGGACAAGGCAGGGTAAGCAGGTTTAGGATTGGTTAGTTTGGATAATTTCAGTGAGCTCTGGGGCATAGGGGCTATCCCTAGGTGCCTAGTGTTTGACCCTGGGGCAATAAGGGAAGGGAAATAGTGGCCCCAGGGTGAGAGCCCTCCCCCACCATAAAAAGGAGGTTGGTTTGCATATGAAAGAAAAACACACTTTAAAGCCAGTCCTTTACACTCTCTAGGAATTGACTAGCCCTGGGAGGGGCAATCACTCCAGGGTCAGCACAGCCCTGGATGTCAAATCATCAGAGTAAAAAAACATGCATAATACAATCACTATACTGAACTTCCTCTCAAAGTAATAATAGTAGCTACTGTTCAGTCCAAACACAAATTAGACATCTTTTTCTTTACCCTTTCCTTCCTTCCTTCCTCCCTCCCTTTCCTTCCTCCCTCCCTTCCTTTCTTCTTTCCTTCCTTCCACACCTTCTTCCCTTCTTTCTCCTTTTCTTGTTTTCTCTTTCCCCTTCTCTCCTTTCCTATCATCTCCTCTCATCCCTCTTTCCTCTCTCTCCTTTCTTCATCTCTTCATTTCAACAAATATTAATCAAATGTGTACTAAAAGCGAGGCATTATTCTAACTGCTTATTTTCTCATGTAACCCTCACAGAACCCTAGGAATTAGAAAATACTAGTCTTATTTAGTAGATGAAACATTGGGCACAGAAAGGTCACACAGATCACAGACAACAGATCTAGTGTCCAAAATAAGTCCTGTTTCATTCCAAAGTCTATGTTTAAACATTATGCTAGGGGTACCTGGGTGGCTCAGTTGGTTAAGTGTCCAACTCTTGATTTTGGCTCAGGTCATGATCTCAGGGTTATGAGATCAAGCCCCACATGAGGCTCCACGTGGAGCCTGCTTAAGATTCCCTCTCTCCCTCCCCCCTCCCCCACTTCCTCTGCCCCTCCAACCCCCACGTGTCCATGCTCTCCCTCTGTCTCTAAATATATATATATATATATATATACATGTGTATATATATATATGCTAAACACACAAAACATGCTATCATACCCCTAAAAGTCTGACATGTTTGAATCTAAGTGTCACCCACCCACCAACCTGAGAACTGAACTGATTTGTCAGCTAGACTCAGAAAATATTAAATATCTGGGAAACTACAATGACACTTTATTCATTGATCCAACAAAAATTTATTGGACATCTGGTTTCTAGACTAAGTTCCATCATTTATGAACTGTGTAACATCAAGGAAGTGACTTAATCTAAGTCTTGGTTTTGTCCTATATGAAATGCAGATAGCAATATTGGCCATGCTAATACATCAAGCTTGTTTTATAAATCAAACGAAATATACAAAAATATTTTGCAATTTACCTGTATAATAAGTATATATAACTTCTAGGCCTTGACCACCCATTCCGTTGCTGGCAAAAATTTAAGATCAACATTTCAAATTTCATTGGCTTCGAGCAATGAAATATACCTCTGCATCAATCAAATAAAAATTTATTTTTATTTTAATTTTTTACATTTTAGTTCCAGTATAGTTAACATACAGTGTTATGTTAGCTAAAATTCAAATCTTAACTTCATTATAATGAAACTCCAAATCCTTTCTTACTTTGCAGGTCAGGGCTATATGTGGAAAGCATGGATTATATCTAACTTTGAGTCTCCTGGAAACATTGCTAAACCATCAAGATTTGGGTTACCATGGTGAAATAAAGTAAGTTGACTTTTTATTCACATAGTCCTCTATTAGGATACCAAACACTGAGATCTGTCTTTAGAAGTTTTATGTGTGAAACAATCAATTTATTTTTTTAATTTTTTTTATTATGTTATGTTAATCACCATACATTACATCATTAGTTTTTGATGTAGTGTTCCATGATTCATTGTTTGCGTATAACACCCAGTGCTCCATTCAGTACGTGCCCTCTTTAATACCCATCACTAGGCTGACCCATCTCCCCATCCCCCTCCCCTCTAGAACCCTCAGTT